AGAGAGAGATGTTGTAAGATTTTAGTAATTGAATATTTCAAATGAATTTAAATAAAGAGGATGAAAATGTTTATTGTACTATAATTTCAACTTTATGTTTAAAAATGTTTAAAGTAAAAGGCAAGGGAAATAAATGAAAACATAATTGAAAACATCTCAACTTTGATGATATTTGATAAATGTTGAAACAGAATTTTGTGAGAGGTGCTGTTGGCTCAGTTCGGATGCCTGATTATTGACCGAATGGCCACTTAGGGTCCACCAATTCAGGTATGATATTTGGAATGAGTTGTGTGTAACCTTGAGCGTGTAAACTGTTCCATGTTCTATAAACATGAAAACCTGGGTAATGATAATATCAACTTCGTAGGTTTGTTGTGAAAATTAAATAAGACTATATACAAAGTATTTTGAAAAGTGTGTGAAACATAGTAAACAAAAAACATTAGTTATCACATCCTCATGGTCAACATACTTATTGTTCTATTTACTTAGGACTTTGTTTGAAAAGACAGAAACGAGCTTTTACAAGTTTATGTACAAAAGAGGAGAGATTTATTATAAGAATACAAGAGAACTAAGCAAGGTCAAGGCCAGGAATTTCAGTCAGGTCCCAGGAGGAAGGGAACCCAGGCATAGGAAAATGGACATGACCAAGGCAACCACCCCTGGTTTTTCTCTCAAGATCTTGTCTCAGCTTCTCCCCCAGACCAGCAAAGTTGTCTGAAAGAAAATCTGATGGTTCTCATTTGGGCCAGGTACTATTTCTGGTTCAGTCAGTGGCCAGGTGGGGGTGTCATGTAGCTCCAGAGCCCAGAGTGGAAGTGGGTTTTGGTTGTTCTGAAAGATCAGGGAGTGATGCCCGCGGACACCCTGACCAGCATCTCTGATCTGAGCCTGGGGAGACACCAGGAGAGAAGGAAGAACTGGGTCTCTGGAAGGTAATGGTTTTGAAACGCTTCTCCTGCAGTGTAGGGTGGGTTCCTAGGGAATCCTTTCAGTCTACTCTCCAGGGCTTCACCTTGTGTTATCCCCTGTTTTCAGAGCCACTGAAACCTATCAAGAGCCCAGCCTTGGGTTGCTAGAATATACTCAGGGAGGCTGGACCAACCCAGGCAACGATGGTGAAGACTTTGTCATCAGCAGGAAAGAGGTTTGGGAGATGAGGTTGGAAAGGGAGAGTTGGGAGGAGAAATGAGAGGAACTGCCGAGTTTAAAATCTGTGGCTCTCTGGGCACCCTGGTGTATGACTATAATCAAGGAGAGGTCTGCCTTTTTTCATAAACTTCAAAACCAATTCCTGGAAACTGGAATCACTGTTCATTAATATTCATGCTAAATTGTAGATTTTTCTCTATTTTGACTTAGCCACATTCTTTGCAACTTTTTTTCCCCCCTTGAAGAATTCTCTCATTAGAACCGTTTCTGAACTCAGTCCTTTGAGACACGTAGATAGGTAAGTCTCACTCTCCGTGTTGGGGTATTTTTGTCTTGGTTGCGTTTCTTTTCTGGCTTCTCACTCCATGGGCTGATTCAGGTATGTAGCTCCCACAGACTTGAAAGGGCTCTGAGGTACAGTGAGAAATAGACTCAAAGAAATTTCCCAAAAGATAGTTTGGATTTATATAAAACATTGGTTATATTTTTTAAAAAATATATGAATATTAGTCCTGGGAAATAAATGGATATTATGAGTACCAGCCAAATTCAAGACATTTTCCTCCAATCATAGAAAAAAAAAGCTCTTGTAAATTAATAATACTTGGCAAATGAGTTCATCCTACGAGGGAGATATTTTTAGGTTCTTACGTGGTTTCAAAAGCAGTATGGAATCTGTTAAGCCAGTCCTACTTTAGGAAGGCAATTGTGTATCAGATTATCTTCACATCATAAATGTAAAAACCATAATCTATTTTTAGAAAGATAGATGGTCTATACAATTTAAAGCAATTTTTTTTTTTATTCTCTGAATTTCTGTCAACGTTCCAAGTATCTCAGAAACAGTGGTTTTACATTTCAGGTAGCATCTAGACTTGACTAGTTGTGTCTGTGATGCTGTGGGAGGATGTGGCACGTCTGTAATCACACTCTTGATGACTACACAGTGACTCAGACACTTTCACAGAAAAGGAACCTATTGTTAAGATACAAGAGTACACCAGGTTAGGAACAGGAAATAGAGACAAGACTCTGGAGACCGACTCTTCATGATCTTTCTCTTTTTGTTATACTGGGGATTGAAACCAGGGCCTCACTTTTGAGAGGCAAACACTATACTACTGAGCTACATCTCCAGCCCTTTTAATATTATTTTTGAGATCATCTCTCACTAAATTGCTAAGCTGGCCTTGAACTTGCCATCCTCCTGCCTCAGCCTCTCAAGTAGCTGAGATTATGGGTATGTGCTACCATGCCTGGCTGTAGTCTCTTTTTTATTGATCTCAAAAACTAGTGGGGTGTGTGTGTGTGTGTGTGTGTGTGTGTGTGTGTGTGTGTGTAGATTGAATCCAGGGCCTTGTGCATGCAAGGCAAGCACTCTACCAACTGACTTATATCCCTAGCTCCTTTAATGATGTTTTTTTTTAACATATTTCCCTCTACTTGGCCCCCACGCCTGACACGTCCAGTTAGATATAGATACTCCTTGACGTAATGGGGTTATGTCCTGACAAGCCATCACCAACTGAAAATATTAGAAGTTGAATACACATTTTTAAATTAATGAATTAATTATTATTTTAATGGTACATATTTGTGGGGTACAGGGTGATAATGTGATATGTGTAAACAATATGTATTGATGAAGTCAGGCTTGTTAGCATCTCATCTGCTTACATATTTTCAAAATATTTTTTGGACTTTGAATTAACGCATATTATGCATATTTATGAGGTACAGTACGACATTTCAATACTTATTCACAATGTGTACTGATCAAATCAGGGTAATTAATCTCTCCATCTCCTTATGACTACTTCATGCTTGATAATTTGAGGAGTTTGAAGATTTTTCTCTTCTAGTTATCTATAAAACGGGTAATAGAGTTGCTGGTTAGGAGGTAGACAGACATCTTCCTTTGATCCAAGAGAGCTATCATTTCTGTCTTGCAATAGTGTGGAACACTAGATTTTATTACTTCATCATTAGCCATCAGCAAAATGCAAATCAAAACCACAATGAGATATCATCTCCCCTCTAGTTAGAGTAGCTGTTATCAAAAAGACAAAAAATAGCGAATACTAGGGAAGATGAGGAGAAAAGGGTACTCTTACTTACTGTTGGTGGGAATATAAATTAGTATTGTCATTGTGAAGAATAGAATGGAGGTTCCTCAAAAAACTAAAAATAAATCTACTATGTGATACAGCAATCCCCCTTCTGGGTGTATACCCAAAGGAAATGAAATCAGCATATCAAAGAGATACCTGTAATAATATTTATTACTGCACTATTCACAATAGCTAAGGTATGGAGTCAACCTAGAGGCCCGCCAATGGATGAATGGATAAGGAAAATGACACACACACACACACACACACCACGCATGCACGCACACGCACGAGTATTATTTAATCATGAAAAGATGGTTATCTTATTATTTCAGCAGAATGGATGGACCTGGAGCACATGTTAAGTGAAATAAGTCAGGTGCAGAAAGACAAGTACCACATGTGAAAGCTAAAATAAGTAGATCTGAATGTAGGATAGTGATCACTGGAGGCTGGGAAGAGTGGTGCAGAGGGGAAATAGAGTTAGATAATGAATTCCAAAACACAGGTAGAATAAAAACACAGTCAGTAGACCTAACCTGCTGAACATTGTAGCTTAGCAACACAATAGAGTGTGGGCTGTTTACCCTGGTGATGGCCTGGTTTACTGAGAGCTGTGGATTGCTTCCCCTGCCCAGATCCTCAGAGAGTACTGGTCTGTGTATATCACCAGCCTAGGCAAAGATCCAAATTCCAAATTTCAAATTCCAAATATGGTTTCTTCTGAAAACATATTGCTTCCACAGCAGCATAAAGCCTGAAATTCCTAAGTCAAACCATTTCAAGCTGGGGACTGCCAGTATTCTTTCCCCTGTTTTCCAGCATTTTCTATCGCCCCACTGGAACAGCAACTCTGGCAACGCAGAGGAGAAATGGTGGGTGTCCCAGTGGAGATTGTCTTAAATGCAGACAAACCGCAGTATATGAGACAGTGGGAAAGACCAGACGAGCCCTGGATTTCAGCCTATGGAAAGAATGCAGTGAGCATAAAATCTTGCATGATGAAAGAAACATCACTGAGCTCAAAGAAATGAGACTTGTTGGTTAGGAAGTGAACAGATATTTTTCTTTGAGCAAAGACAACTATTACTTCTGTTCTTCTCCAAATTTGACACTCTTGACTGTCCATGTTGTGCTGAATGACCACTGCTACCACCATCTCACGGGAAGGAAAAGAGACGGGAGGTTTATGATAAATTATGCCTTTCATGTTCATGAACTCATGGCCAGAGGTTCATCGACTAAGTAAACACCCAGTCTTGGATTCCTGAATTACTACATCAGCATTTAGCATTCTCACTATCAGATATGTGGCTTCGTTGACATATCAAGAAACAATATTTCATTGGGAAGATATAGTGCCTTTTAAAAGGAGGAATAAATAACCTCTCCCCCGAGTTTAATAGGGAGTGTGATCTTCATGCTCTGCATCCATCTATTCACTAACTCTCCTTCTTATCAAGTATAATATATTCCTGTTGGCAGCCTGATTTAATTGGGCTTGTGGTAACTGATTCAATTGAGCACTTTAATTAGGTAATTATTTTGTTATAAGAGCCACTTTCCAGCATGCTAGAGAGAGAGAGAGAGAGAGGATTTTCCATTTTTCTCAAGCTAAAAATGGAACCTGGATTCTTTTCTTTTGTAACAAAATGGAATAAAAATGAGCCGTTAAAGAATTAGGCAGAGACTTAAGCCATGGAACCAAGAAAAACAACCTTGAATTATGTGTTGATAGGAGAAAAACGTGTTTTTAAGAAAGGAAGACAGAACTAGTGTTTCTCAGCTGTGGATATTGCCACCAGATGTGTCTGTGTTCCTGAACAGAGTGATTCTTCATCTTCTGCCTCAGTTTTCCTCCAGAAATGTAGATTTCTTTCTCAGGCCCTACACAAGAAAATAACTGCTGTGTAAAAGAAAATAAGATACAAGAAATGCTCCTGCCACTACATTCTTAACAAATGTCCCTGAATCTAGTGACTTTTTTCCCCCCGGCAAATTTAATTAATTATCACCCTGTTTGAAAATTTATTATGAACGTTAGTCATTTATTAACTTCCGTAACAGACTTTGTCTTGAAGGAAGGACCAGGCTCTGAACACTGCCTGAGATGGAGCAGCCAGGATAAAAGCGCTCCTCCAATTCCCACATACTTCTGACATTCAATCATACTATCTTTTGTGGGCTGGCAGGAATGATTGTAAATAATCCAAAGATACCTCAGATCAAACAAACAAATAATTAGAGTTGACACTAGAAAAGCCAACAAGACCCTAATTAATGGATTTGCTAATAGCTATTCTCCATTTACAGACATTAGCCCAAATTGAGTTTTAAGCTGTGACAAGGGCCACAAGATAAACATTTTATTTCTCTCAACTCCTGATTACCCACCAGTCCCCCAGTCTTACCATTAACTAGTCTTTGGAGATTTTTGTTCCCTCATGGGTGCAGGCTAATTCGAAAAAGCTTCCTTCTGAAACCCGCCGCTCATCTACTTGGAACGGTCAATCAACACAATGATGATGTTTTGCTTTAGAATTTTTTAGCTGTACCTTTTCAATAAAGAAGCCACAACAAAAGGAAACATTTCTCAATTAAATCCTCATTTAAACAGGCGGATGTTGCAAGTGAAACCTTCCCCAGTGGATGATAAGAATAATGACAATTCTGTTCCAGAAACCCAGGGGCCAGAGAAGGGTTGTGTTCCAGACATCATTGCGCAATAAACCATGCCCAAACCTAATGGCGCAAAACAACAAGCATTTTATTATCTGTAACGACTTTGTGGGTTGACTGAGCTCAGCCAGGGTTTTTCTTCTGTTTTACATAATGTCATCTGAGAGCCCAGCTTGGCCTGGAAGTCCAAATTGGTGCACTCTTACGTGGCGGCAGTTGGTGCAGGCCATCTGCATGGATCTTGGCAGGTGACAAGGCTGTTGGTATTTTCCTGTGTGGCTTCTTAAAGCCTGATGGCTGCGCTGCAGGAGGCAGTGTTCCCAGAGGAGGGAGGTACAGATCTCTCAAGCTCAGCTGTGGAACTTAAAGCTCCCTTTCTGCACTCTTTAGCAGTCAGAGTGCTTCCCAGGGCCAGTCCAGGTTCAGTGTGGCTGGACCAGGATGTGCTGGGAGACATGCTCAATGGACTGACCATCTTTGGAGACTGACTCTCACAATCATCTTGTCAGAAACAAAGAGGCATTTCATTAAAGTTTTCTGGAAAGTTCTCTCTGGCCTTTTCTCCATGCCCATTTTCACTGTTGTTAGGGTGGCCCAGTGAATTTAGGGGTGCATATTTGGGGCTATCTTTTTAAAGAACAGATTTGAGAATCTGTTCCAAGAAGGAGCAATGTTACTACTTTCCTGAATTTTCTTAAGTATTGATCAGAACCAGCAGGTGATAATCTGCATTTTCTCAGTGAAGACTTTTGCAGCTCTTTCTTCTAGCTGCTGTGGTTGTGATGGTTGAGTGAAGGACCTGGTATCAAGTGTCTTGGGTTTGGATTTTAGCTTCTTCAATTACTAGCTATGTGAATCTGGGTGAAGGATTGACACTTAGAAGCTTCTGTTTCCTCATCTTTATGACGGAGTATTCATTCAACTATATTGATTATGAGAACTTAGATAATGCATATAAAGTCTTAGCATAGTGGCTGGAACACGGATGAGTGTGGAGGAAATTGTAACTGCTGTTACTATGCAATGTGGCGCCTGATAGAGGATAGAAGCACCAAGGAATTGAGTGTAAAGTCACAGGATGCTGGGAGGTCACAATCAGGAGGAGATCTCCTAAACCAATCAGTTTTGAATGAAGAACGAATGTTTTTGTACCAAATGATCTCCTAGTTTCTCTTCTGATGCTCATGCCAGATCCATGCAATCCAGGTTGTTTCTGGTGGTAAAGGGACTGAAACTGGGAGGAGCCTGGGCAGCAGTCAGTGGAAGCAGGTCAGGGGCACAAACGTCCAGATTCCCATGCGTCCACCTGGATATCATGGTATCAGAACCTCTTGAGTGTGTGAGGGTGTAGTATTTGAATTCTTTTAAATCATTCCACAACTCTTGCATGGGGAGGAAAAAAAAGCATTTCTACAGATGCTTATCAGAAATGAAGGGTAGTGATATTTGTGAATCGCTCTACCTGGGAAAGCAAATTTATATGTTTCATGTTCTCCCATCTCCTGTGTTCTTTGGCCACATATAGTACTTCTGTCAGTTGCTGGGAAAGGAAAGCTCACCAAGGGTTGCCTGTTATGGGAATTCCTATTTTCTTGGGCCTCATTGTTTTCCTCTTGCAGTGCCTTAAAGGAAGCTTTCCGTCTCTTGTCCTGCTCACTTTTACCTTGTGAATTACCAGAGTAACATCCACTGGTCCATGATTCTCAAAAGAAAAAAAAAAAGGCCCAAACCTTGGGACAGATTCTCCTATATCTACCCTACTCTGGGAGACTCTTGCTGTAAGTGTATGTGTCCTGCAGACCCAAACATTCCTGAGATAGGCTTTCCTAAGGTTCAGTGTTGGATAAGGGGGAGCAAAGGGTCATAAATTTTTTGGGTTACAGATGGGAAGGCACAGCTTTCAATGGGCTCTTCAGCACTGAAGGCATAATTATCACCTTTAATGATGCATCGCCTTTAATTCTGCTGTTTATTTATTTCCTAAAACCCTAACAGTGACATTAGCCAACCTCCACTTGTCTGGTGTTGTACAAATGGTTAAGACCCATCTGACTCAAATGGAGCCACATATATTTTTCTTGAGAGAAGTACATATTTCTTTAATGTTCATATGTTAACAGTAAAAACACTTTTTTTCCCTGAAAAGCAAATATTTACAGAATTCTTAAAAGCTTTGCTTCTTGCATACTCAGTATTTCAGTCAGTGAGACAGGTGTATTTCTCATTACTTTTTTTTCAGCAAATATTTATTTAGCACCTTTTATATGCCAAGCAGTCTTAGGTGCTGGAACTGTTTTTGGGAAGTAAAAGTAGATGGGTCTCTTACTCTTCCTATTGGTCTACTTGGATTCCGAAAATAAATCACACAAATTGTTGTGTAGCTAAGAACACACTGAGGCAGTGTGATGAGACAATAGTACATATAGTACCTAACTCTGTGAGGTTAACATGTCCTGGCCTAGACTGTATGTGGGATTAGGAGCATGGAAAGTTATCTCTGAGAAAATGATGATTGAGTAAAGGATGAGCATAAATAAATAAACAAATTGAAGTTAACTGGATTTGTATATCCATAGAGAATCAATTTATTGGTCTTCTCTCTTTTTATTTGACCTTCGGTAATATTCTATTCAACCTTTTTGAATATTCAGAAGGCAACGAGTTCAATTCTACTTCCCAACTACCCTGACCAGATTTCCTGAATCTAAAATAGAAGCTACAACCTGTCCACAATAATTTTTTGAGCTGTCAATTTATTTACCCACACACTTCCATCCATCCATTAACATGAGTATCAGAAATATTATAGGATTATTGACTGTTGATTATATTAATTAGTGTGTGTGTTGGATAAATGACTATAAGCAATATGCCCATGATGTAATGTGAGCTGCAAAACTTAGATAAACTGCAGAACTTAAATAGACTTAAGTTAGTGATATAAGAGTCTACACCCTGAGCCCGTACACCCCAGGGCTTACCCAGTTATCTACTGTAAGCACAATCAAACTAGGACTTAAAAATGCAGTCTTTTGGGGGCCAGTGGGACTAACAGGACCCGGATAGAAAGATGAGACCTCTGCTGCTGTTGTTCCCCCTACACCAGACTCCTCCCACCCGGATTGAGTTCCAGTGACCTGGACTTCAGACGCGTCACAGGTAAGCTTAAGACACGCCTGGGACCCTTGGGTGTAGACTCAGTTAGGACTTAGTTAGGAAGTGTGATAAGCATTAATAAAATAGATTTGATTGAGTCTAACTGCACCTCAGACTGAGTCTGTAGAAACTGCTTATGACATCCATCTATCCATCCATCCATCCATCCATCCATCCATCCATCCATCCATCCATCCATCCAGACACACATTTATCAAGTTACCTATATGTACCTAGTACCATGGTAGGGAATGAGGTATAGGAGTATAAGAATAAAGTCATGTTAATTGACACTAACTGTATTTTTCATTAGGCTTCTATACTTTTTGGCTTCTCTTCCTGCCCTTCAAGCATTTTATTTATTAGTTTGCACATCTATCTCCTTCGTAAGACTTGGCTCCTCATTCAGGCACCATGTCTCATTCGTATTTGGGTTCCCAGGGAATATATGGTGACTGTCATGTAGTAGTTAAGAAATACTTGCTAATGAGTGAATTTAATGTATTGCCATTAGTGAAGGGCAAGCCATTAGATGGCAGACAAGGGATCACTGTTGTGTAGGTGAACCCTGGGGTGACTTGGTGAAAACTAATAATGCCATACTTTCGAGGAAGCAGAAAGTATGACATTATTAAAAGTGCTGGTGAGACCACTGGCAGGCATGGCCAGGAGCCTTCAGCACCTTCTCTGTTCTGACTTTATCCTTCAGCCAAGTATTTGCCTCTGAGTGCCTGAGGCCTTGGAATTTTCCAGGGAGCTGAAGCAGTAATCACACTGGCCTGCTCCTACGGAAGATTAATGACTTGGTAAAGGAATCTTGATCCTTAGACACAAGTGCTGTGTAAATCAAGGTTTTAAATTATTATAGCCACCTCTGAATTGGCATATCTCTTTTTTTTAAGAGAGAGAATTTTTTAATATTTATTTATTTTTTAGTTTTTAGTGGAAACAACATCTTTATTTTATTTTTATGTGGTGCTGAGGATCGAACCCAGTGCCCCGTGCATGCCAGACGAGCGTGCTGCTCTTGAGCCACATCCCTAGCCCATGAATTGGCATATCTTAATCACACTGCCCCACATTGCGTCTCTAGATTCTAGAAGAGTGTAGTGAAACAGTCAAAAGTAAAAGAATTTGAACTTTTCTCTTAGTTTCAGAAATGATTTCTATACATTTCACAGTTGAGTTCTCTGAAAGCAAAGGCTCTTTCAGAGGAGTGAATGAGGTACCTCACACACATCTCTCAACTCTCAAAATAGACCTGTGAGATTCAGATGTAAAAGGAGGCTGTAATTTCTTCTCTCACAGGGGCAGTCCAACTCAAATGATTTCCATTTGTTTTTCTTGTCATTTTAACCACCATAATAGCTTTGGTATATCTGTGTTTTCTTCCTCTTTGCCCTTCCTGTTCCTCCTAAGACTTTCCACGGTTCTCGGCTGAGAAGTAAACTTACAAATTACCTGACAGGAAAGTCAGGGGGTAAGTAAATCACCATCCAGTTGGATCACAAAATCAAAATGCTTGTGATATGTCAAACCTTTAACAAGTCAATTGCTTCTTTTGAAAAATGTGTCTTTTCTCCTTCATGCTGAGAACAACTGAGTCATTCCAGGAATTTTGCTCTGATTTCAGACCAAAGTTGCAATGTCTTCAGACTGCAAATGATGTCAGACATCTAACAAAATGGCAAAGCAGCACTCGTGTCTTTTTATTTTTAAG